CAGTCCCAGGCGACCCGAAGAAGCGGACCCTTGTCGGACTTGTCCAGCAGATCAGAAAAAGCGCTTCCGCGCGACTGAGGCGAGGCAAAACTCGCAATTCGCTAATTCCCCAAGAGTGAGATGCGAAAACGGGATTCTTTTTTTTCCAGCACCAGGTCTTCGCTCAGTCCCGGCAATACAGCGACCACTCGCAATCAGGAGGAAGTATAGGAGTATATGTGCGCCACGGTTTGCTTTCAACGTCGACAGCTCGACAAATGCTTCGCTAGAATGCCCTCCGCGGGCTGCAGGCGAACGGAAACAATTTCCCGCTTGAATTTAATACCCGTCTCGGGAATCCTTCAGAAGAATTCTCATGAGCGGAAGATTTACAAAACGCGATCCATTTTCTCCGCTTAGTAGAGCTGCGGGTTCGCAGCTCAAATCATCCTGGGGGTCTCGTGCACAGCGAGTCTCCGCATAACGAAAGATTCTCACAACGAAAAATCCGCATTGCGAAAATTCTCCAGGAAAAAACGTGACACAACCAGAAGTCGTAAAAGTTTTTTACTTTTCGGACTCCTGGTTGGAGTGGAACGACCACACACGAAAGTTGACTGAACCGTTCAAGATTTATTTGATGCTTCGATTCAGAAACGTTTGTCCATCAGACGAAGTCTTATCCATAGAAATGTACTGTATATACAGTACGCTTCAATCACGCTGGCCAACAATACATACGCACCTCAATGCGGTACGTGATAAAGCAGAATACAATAAATTAAAAATTACTGTACTGTAGTATGTTACGTTTTTGGCCCCTTCGCGTATGGGTAGAACGATATCAATCATCATCTGCATGACAGCTTCGTCGCCATAGCAAATAACAACTGATTCCTCTGAGGAAAAACCGCCGCTGATACTGCAGAAATGTAAAAAATGAAAGAAAATAATACATTCGTTTTGATTAACTATCGAAGACACCCATCAAACAAACACGAACTAGATCAGGCAAACAAAGTAGAGCAACCTGGCATAATTTCCATTTTTTTAAATCGGAGCTTAATGCGCTTTCGCTCCTGGGATTCATCTCGTGTTAATAGGATACTCTCCGCATATCTGCGTACATTTCACAGCAAGATGTTGTCGGAATGAAGGAACAGCGGTGAAGCCGCAAGGCCACCGTCTGCTGCTTCATTCAAGGTCACAACTCTTACAAGTGATGGGTAACGCGAAATGCGGTACTTTTTCGTTCTTCCGCAAAACAAAACCTCAACAGAAAAACAGAAGCGGGCACGAAATGGAAAGCGGGAATAAGGAGCAATTGACCGGAACAACGCCAGGTCGTCATGAGATAACCTTCCATTGGAGGGCCTATATAGAGCCCTATAGTACCCCCAAAGCACACTATGCCGAGCCGACATAAGGGATCCCGAGGACAACGGGCGTCACGTGGATACTCTTGCATCCGGTTGGGAAATCGAGACGAGGAATGAGAATGCGGAGAACGCAAACGATCCGCAGCTCGGCTATTCGGCATAACGGCCCCGATGACGGCATCCGGGTTTCATCACCTCTACTTACGTCGAGGAAAACGAATGCTCACCGTAACGGAGAAAGTCTGCAAATTTCAGATTTTTCAAAAGAAAGAATATACGCGGATTTGGATGAACCGATCGGGTCTGCTGACGCTTGAACTGCGTTCAAAGTCCCGAGTACCCATCAGCACTTCTGCTGAATCCCGCCCAGCACGCTTCATCTTCATTTTTGAAGTAATTCTACGAACGACGCCGCGCTTTGGAAGGACTAATGGAAACTACGAGCTTGAATCGTTCTCCGTTGCGGCTGGTGTCAACATTTGAAAAAAAAACGCGGTTAATCTTAATTTCCACCATGGCAATGTCATCTGAATGAAAGCAAGGAAAATCTCGCTGATCTAAACTTGAGAATGAGTCCTGATGTCCTATATAGTCAATTATCGTGAGCCTTCATTTTGAAAGGACGGCGCTTTCTTAATGCATTCTCTAAAAATATACATTCGCGAAAATATAGCGAGATAATCAATGGGAACTGTCATCTCGATTCACGGATGTATTCTGCACTTGGTGGCTTTCTAACAGATGACGCAACACGCATTCTATCTTCGCTTCTGGCTTGAGCGCCAGGCTCAACTGAGTACTGTATGGTGTCTGCTGAGTGCCACCAGACTGCTGAGCACAGGGAAGAACACCATCCGAACAAGTGTCATTGAAGAAGCATAAAAAATCGCATCATTAGAAAAACAATACAGTATAAACGAACAGATTACAATTGTCTTGCAGAGACTTGAACGCTTGGATCGAGATCCATATTCCTCCCTACGCCTGAATTTGGGCATCATTTATGAACCCTTCCGTGTACCTATCGTCCTCGACCAGCAGGCAAGAAATATAAATTAATTTCACTTCCTCACAAAACAATTTGGAAAGGTATGGGACCTTTTTGAGTAAAATTAGGGGAAAATATTATAAGGATTTTGTTGGAAATGAACAAATGAATAATTTGTTTCATTCCAGACAAATCATATTTAAAATATCTTCTGCCGAATACTGAAACATCATTGATTGCACCCGATTCTGAAAACACCATATCCATAAAATCAAGACTCCCTGAGCGAGTCATAAAAACTTAGAATGCACGAATTTTTCACGAAGTCCGTGGTTGATATATAGTTAAAAGTTAATACAGTGAAAGTAAGAGCCGTGGATCGCATTAAAATGTACTTCGAGTCCCGAACAAAATTCTCTATCAAGACTGCTGACGATTCAATGTCTATTGGCTTTCTTTGTGAGAGTTAATCGTAATCGATCCCAGAACCAATGAGCAGCGCAAAGAAAAAATTTAGCGTGATGATTCGGCATAAAACTTGAGTGCCGTTTCAGAAAATTCATCCAAAATCAATGAAGCAAAGGAAACTAAAAATGTTGTATTCTTCATAACTTTCCCCATAATTTCCTTGTCATGATGATACCGGGCCAGTCAACGATGATTAGCTCAGAGAAATGAACCCTGAGGGCATTGTCGTGAACAGCACTGCCCAGACAAGAGAGCAGTCGCTCGGGTGGCAGACACGCATTTGCATAGACGCATCGCATGATATTGTCTCGTATGCACATGAAGCAGCTTCAGCATGGCAGCAGCGCGACCAAGAAAAACTATATGGCTCCATTGGGACATGCTTTATACCAGCACAAGGTAAGCATTTCGCCTCTTTCACTTCATCGTTTTGCCGAATAATGAATGCAACTTCACGAGCTCAGAGTGATTATCACTCTGTATAGATAATAGAGCGCATCGAAGATTTTCTCAGAATTGACGACTTGAGTGCAATTGTTTAGTACAACATCCCTTCTCTGAATAAAAATGTTCAGACGGGTGCTCCAGCCATTTTCACCTTATACTAGCATCTATATACATAAATCTCCCTTACTTCCACAGGACAGAACATACCACACCTTCGAAGACGCACCAAAATGGATGAGGAAGTATTGGGATGCTAAAAATAAATTTGTTCTTCCCAATTCATTTTTCCCTATGCCACAGCATGGCTGAAAGACGAGTGAAAATTGTACCAATACCAAAATGGGGAAATTGCCTCTGTTTTCAGAAAATCTAGAAGCATTATATTTTAAATGTTCTTTTTAATGACAACCCGGAAGTATCTGGGTGAATGAAATCATTCGATCAATGCACAATCTTGTCACATTTCGAATAGTGAACAATCACAGCTATTCTTGGCTACGTTTTCATCTTATACGTACTCACTTTGATCATGTCGGGATTTTCCCAGGTGCTGTCATTCAATTATTCATACTTCTGATCTTGGATCTCCCGGATTATCAAAATATGAGGGTATCACAAAAAATCAATCAATGGCTTTTGCTGCAAACAAACTTCGAGGAATACAACCATATTTCAATAATCTAGAGGTGCACTAGCCAGGATAACTGGTCAGTCGCAGGGGAAAGTGGCTCCTGTTGAATTTTGCGACTCTAAGACGGCTTCGCTTCCCAATGGTCTCCATGAATTAAAATTTTGATATGTTTAGTGGGAAATCGGGAATCACTCTTTATTGAAACGCGTTTGATTAATGTTCGACAGCACTCACAGCAGTACTGTGAAAAGTATTTTAGAAGCAGAAATGCACGTTAGGCAGATATCCCAACGCTCTTGTTATTGCAAGACTTTGTTTCTGCATTTGGTCATGAGTGACAAGCTAATGTCACTCATGCAGTACCACCTAACTGAGGAATGGAACAGCTGAGTGCTACCAGCATCACTGAGCACCGCCCAACACAATTCAACAGTCCTGCTTGATTGCCCTACAATTTGCATCAGCATTTCACTTCAACAGTACTGACTCGCGACCAATTTCTTTTCTCATGTACTTCAATGCTGGAAATCCTTTCTATTATGAGTTCATATGACTGGAAGTGGATATCACTTCGTATGTTTGTGGTGAACAAAACAGTCATACAAAGTAATGCAAAGAATTACAGTTTCTGCCAGAACAAATTATCATCAGTAAGAGAAATTGAGTGATTTTAAAAGATGAAAAAACCTCTTTACCCAGGTTTTTAAAAATCCACCGCGTAGAAAAAACGATAAAAACGGATACTGTAAAGGCCCTTCAGCACAGACCTGGTTGATCATGCTCTTCATGCCAATGAGGATTGTGATACTTCAAGAAAAACTCATGAATGCTACGCATCTCGGGATACCCAATTTCGTTCTCCTTCCGCATTTCAAACAAGATTGTGAACGATTCCAAGGAACATGAACGTCATCAATAGAATATACAAAAGTCATCTGTTCGCTATAAAGCGTTCATCTGAATACCACAACGGAAACTTAAGTTTCTCATGCCACCTGGCAAATCATGGACAGGCAATCTAGATAAGCTATCCGAAGTTTCTTAGGAACGTTGAACTCCACAATAACCCTCACATCTACCAAAAAACAGAAGAATGAAACGCCAATCAATCGGTCGAAGTATTTTCATTCACCAAACGGTAATGAAGTCGGAACGAAGAGAAAAATGAATCATGGACGGAGATTCAAATCCTTAGCATCTCACAAGACGCACGAAATCACTGAGATTCCAGAACACGGGCTCATGTGAGAAACGCGAACAACGAAAGCAACATTTTACGACCCTGGAGTCATCACGAGCTGCGCGGTTCGTAATGTAAGTTACTCCCGAGCATCACTAAGTTCGACGGCGAATGGCCTCGCAACAGGCTCGCTTCCACTATCGGCAATCTTCACAGCCTGATTAGGCCTGTCACTGCCATCAGTACGGAGCGATGCGATCTGATCCACAACGGACTGAAATTTGAGAAGAAAACTATCAGTACTCCGGACTGCATTATTTTCAGACTCTGTTTCATGTTCGGTTCATATCGGAATCATGGAACAAAATTCCGTAAAGGGGTATTACCATTCCTTTGATCACTTTGCCGAAAACGACATGTTTCCCATCAAGCCATGGAGTTGCCTTGGATGTGATGAAAAATTGAGAGCCGTTCGTGTCCTGCCCGGCATTTGCCATTGAGAGCCAACCAGCTCCGTAGTGACGCAACTGGAAGTTCTCGTCCTCGAATCTCTCGCCATAAATGCTACGACCACCAGTTCCATCCCCCCGTGTGAAGTCACCTCCTTGAATCATGAAGTTCTTGATAACTCGGTGAAAAGTGGATCCCTTATAACCCTCGCCTTCGGGCCTGGTAGCCAATTCGCGGAAATTTCGCACAGTTTTAGGTACGACTTGCCCGAAGAGACCAATTTCGATCCGTCCAGCAGGTTTGCCTCCGATTGTCATGTCGAAAAAAACCTACGAAACTATTCGCATGAGCAACGAAATTCGTACCTCACTCCTTCTTTAGGACTTTACCTTTTCGGTAACTTGTGGAGCCTGAGCAGAGGCATAACCGACGACGGCAGACACAGTCAGGAGCAAAATGGTGATGCGCGACATCGTTAGGTACACCAAACCAACAAAAACAAGCGAAAATCCTGCGGTGGTACAAGACTCGAAGTTAGATTCACACTAGCTCGGCCTCGGGGGAAGAGCGTTGTTTTAATACTGGCTGTATCAGGGTCAATGAACTAGCCCAGCGAACGAGCGGTAACTCGCATGGCAACCGAGACTCACCGGAAAAGTAAATCCGAGTTTGTCTGATACAGTACAATGAGAAAGACACGAGCACCGAAAGACACAATGAACTTACGGTCAGCAACGTATCGCTGAACGATGATGAAGCTATCCACAATCTCCGCGATGTATTTCGGAGATCGTCTGAACGCTCAAGATACTTTTTTCTTACACATCTGAGAGAATTCCTAAAACCCGATGGAGGGCTCAATATACATATCTTTTTCTTGCTATAAGAAATCATCCATCAGACACTTGTGAAGACTATAAAGGCTTCTTCATAGGCCCGCTTCTTCATTCATAGGGAACGAATTGTTCAGATTCGCTGTACGAATTTGTGCCTTTGAAAAAAAAAAATCTCCGAGCTGAAGAGAGACAAACCTTCCGCAGTTTCACTACTATGTTTGAAAGCAAGACGTTTGGTGAATGACTAAAATCTCGCATAACGTTGAACAACCGAAGTCATATGCATAAGTTTAGCAATATTAACCTACATACTGCGCACATGATGGAACGTGACGCACTCGGCAAATAAAATTTCAGAATGTGCAGGAAGCGCGAACAACTATCCATAAAATATGTGTGAGGCTTCCCCAGTTCGCAAATGTTGAGCCACGAAGAATTTAGACGTCTGGGTACATTCCGAAGTGCAGAATTGATGATCAATGGATCAGCAATGAAGATTACGTCTGAACAAGGATTTTCAAAATCCGACAGCACCGAAAAATTTCATCGGCATATGATCGACCGATTGTCATAGCCACGGAAAATTTGACATTATTCTGTAGTACAGTACTGCGATCACTTCCTCGGATCTCGGGAGCATACCTTCACTATCAATGCACATATGAACCGAAGTCGCTGGCGCGTGCATTACATTACAGGGTTAAGGCAACTAATTTTCGCGAATATCCACGATTACTGTACAGCACGTGCCACATCCTCAAAGGATTTCATCTGCCCATCAAAATCCACCTTTAAATCGGCTAGAATGCTGCATGATTCAGTGATTGCCGCCTACGATACGCATCATCCCACTCAGAGATACTGTACTCGACTGTGAGCTTCTCCTTTCACGCCACCCCCGCAGGCGCCATCCTCTCTCAGAGCCACTATAGTGGCTCTCAGGGAGTGACTTCAACTACAATAATTTTGCGGTACAGATGCTTGGCTTTTGCAATGATAGCACCAACAGCAAGCAATTCAAGATTGATGCCCTCTTCGCAACGAGTGCACAATAGCGAATAACACAGAGCAAAATTAATAGGTGCTTGAGTTTTGCCGGCGAGCAGTTCTGCTCTGGCAAGAAACTACACCACCTTCCCAATTGTCTACATGCCTACATGCGTACCCATAACTGCATGTACTGTACTTCACATGCATTGTGGACTTGACTGTGAATATTATTGTAGTTATTGCAATAACTACAAGAAAGTACAGTACTGTGTACATACTGCTTCTGATGTATGATACGAATGCGAAGCTTGTATTTCTGCAGAACTGTACATACATACGCATATTATGCAATAGCGTCGGGCACGGACATTCAGAAGCACATGCAGCACGCAATCAAGAAAAATGTACTGTACTTACAGATGAGAACGGGGGTGCTGCAAGTCATCGAATTACTCTATACCTATACAGTACAATGCTGTATCGTATCTCAATGAATACAGCAGAGTAAAGTACAGTTTTTCGAAAATATAGTCAACTTTCCTCATTATAGCGGGAACAGCTCTCATATGCTTATCTTATAGATATAATGGTGGGGTAAGTGGAACAATCGCTCCTACGTACAGTCGGTGTTCCGTTGGAGGTACGAGCTATAGAAGTGGAAAAGCGGGTCATTGATAACGACTTCAAATAAACAAGATGTGCTCAAGTAGGGAAAGGGGAACAGTCGAGGTAATTTTCGCCTTCGCCTATTGAAGGTGTCAGATCCAAACGTTCTGGACTCGACTCAAGTTCTTCCGGCACGAAGACTGAATAACAACATTTCAATGTCCCTTATATTTCTTACTGTATATCTTTCGCAAGCGCACTCGGTATGCAGCAGTGGGTGAACAAAAGCCACATCAATACCGAAACGGGGCATAACAATACGTTCGGATTCCCTCGATCTTTTCATGCATCCTTTCCGCGTTTATTGTTCAAAGCGCAACTGGGACGTTGCTCTTAGTTCCAAGAACCGCGTCCAATAGTTCGGGGTCGGACGGATCGCTCTAAAATTTTGAGAAATTTCAGCTTTTAATTATTTGTGATTCAGAAATCAAAATGCGTCGCGTGGTGCTCTTGTGTTTACTAGCCTGTCTTGCTGTGGTTGTCGCATGCGGGCCAAAGCAGCAGAAAAGACATGTAGGCGACATTCGGATGAAAAAGTAAGTTCAACTGGCTTTATACTGCTGAAGTTAGCCCTTTCTTTATTTGGAAGCAGCAAATAAATTCCAATATGCTACAAACCAATTTCCCCCTTTTCAAAATTCAACCCGATTCCACGAATACTTTTTAATGCTGACTCACTCAGAACCTTGTTCGAGCTAATTTACATATTCGAAGAAAGAAACGCGTCGCGTCATTTTGACGAGAATTCCACAGCTGTTTCGGAATTGATACGCACTAATTTTCTTATCGCGTGCATTTCTGCATTCTAGCCGCCCTTCATCATCGTAAGTAACTTGGTTCGATATGGAAAAAGCTTAATAATAGCTAATTGAGATAAAATAAAATGTAAAAAGATTGCGTATCCTAATCAATTCAGGAATGACAACGAAGCAGATGCAATCGCATTTCTGGAGCGCTACAACACCGAATCTTCCAGACTGCTGAATAAAGGAATTATTCTGGACTGGGCGTACAACACTAATATCACCGATGCGAACGCAGAGGCATCGGTAACTATATTTTCTGCCATTACGCACGCAGCAAACATCAATGCAATAGTTGAAGCTTAATTGTGCTGGTGTTCACTCATGAATTCAAATTATTTAAATCATAACACGTTTGGGGATTACTTTCCATAAGCAGCGCTGATCGAAAATTTGGACCCTCCATAAAGTCTATAGTTACAGTATTGTATATACGCGATGATTTTAACTGAATCCATATTTTCCGAAAACACTGTTCGATGCAAATGTTCCAGCAACCTATTATGTCCATAAGGGTCCATTGCAAAAATTGAGCACAGAGTAAATAATTTTCAGTACATAGAGTTTATTATAAATCCACAAAACATACCAAGCATGGGTAGCTTGATATGTTTGTGAAGTTAAACTGTGTTGCACAGTCGCAATATACAGTATTGCCAATGATCGAAAGAAAACATTTTTTATTCACTCAAATTTAGAGAACACATGATGATTAATTTTAAAAAATTGCCTGTATGACCGATGCCCAGCAGACATTTACCGTCTGTATATTCAACAAATTTACCTCATAATATGGCAAACATTTTGTTAAAAAGAAATTGAACTTCCTGATTGAATCAAGATAAACACAATATTAAGTATGTTTTTCGGCACTGATTTTTGATCACGACATTTCATTCAGTAATGTATCACGAGTAGCTCTTCTGCGATGGATGATAGTCATCGTTTTCCGAATTATTTTATAGATACTTTAATAGTGTTGTTGAGAGATATTCCACTGGTGAATATGTTTCCCACGCAGTAAAGATAGGTTTATTGGCTTCCGGAACGTAAACAGCATAATAGAGCTTGGAAATTTTTTTTAACGGATATTCTATGCGCCGAAGAAGACAATTCCGTCGGCTCATAACGAAGTTCCAGCGGAAAAATATTTTGGCGTAGGAAGTAAGTCCAGGATCGCATTTTCCAGTTACTAAATGCCTTCTCATCTCGGGATCATAAACGAGCTTTTCAATTCGCATCAAGCAATATTTTCTCTAATCCAAAATAATTATTTTAACTTAATGACGCAATACAATAAAACGGTCTTGATCTTGTATATGAAGACCGCTGCAAGCTTGGAACTGCAAGCGTTCAGTCTGGCGTCATTTAATGAGGCATTGGAGTTCGACTCGACGAACTTCAGTGAAGATACTCAGCGACAGTTAAAATCCGTGGGCGCCAAACAGTTACCAGAAGCCGAACAGCAGACTCTTTCAGAGGTATTGACACTATTGAGGGGTATATTCACGAACATTTTATGTATAGAGATGCATGTGCAAATCATTCTGAGACAGATTCTGTCGAACATGTCGAGGATTTACGGCTCAGGTCAGGTGTGTTGGGAAGACGGACAATGCTCAGTTCTAGAGGGAACCGAAGACTCTTTGTCAACGTTGTTTGCGACATCTACCGACGAACCTAAGCTTCGCTACGCTTGGGAACAGTGGAGAACCAACGTGGGACGCCCCATGAAGCCGTATTATGAACAGGTTTCTGCCCGTAATAAGAGGTTTCAAAGAAGGGATTGTCGAAATTAAAGGGTTTCCTCTCTTCTTCAGTACGTTGAATTGAAAAATCAGTTGGCAGTAATTAGGAACTACACGGACTACGGTCACGAGATGAGATCACGATACGAAATTGACGACTTCGAACTCAGCATGGAGGAAATTTACAACACGGTGAGAACCAATTACTGTTCATCTAGATGCGGACCAGGAAACTCTTCAATCTTAAAAAAGAAGCATTTCAGCGGCAATAAATAAAAAGGGGGAAACCAGCAGATACGTTTACGTTTGAATAAAAGCTGTATAATATGTTCATAATATATGTTATTATATGTTCATAATATTTTGAAATTGCTTGGTTTACATTCTATATTACGTTTTCATGTACAACCATAAAAAACCTACCTCTGAAAAAATTTCCCGAGCAGCAATAGAGCAGTTGAATTCAAGTCAAGCTGCAATGTTTCAACAAATTTTTCTTGCAAATGCTATATTCGTGATCAAGTATGATTACAATATTCTGTACTGGACTTCTAAACTGCGTATTTTCAAGTCATACATTATGCAGCTCTTATTAATCTGCCCAAAGAAATACAGAACTGCGTGTACGTCAGGAAGTTTTGAAGTTTAGGATAATCATTATCGTATCCTCGCATTTTTCATGAATTACCCCGAATAAAGAATAAAACATTTCCGGATCAGGTAAAATATTTGCTTCTCAGGAAAGTTTCGGTGAAATTTTCAACGCTGCCCGGCCAAAGCGGCACCCAAAGTACGTTCTGTGTGTCCTGCAATGTACAGTGCAAGACTTTTTCACTACAGTAATATTAAACAATAAAACCGACGGCATTCGAATTCTGCATTTCCATGACAAACTCGTCTTTTAGTATTCCCGGAGATGTTGGTTGAAAAAAACAGAATTTTAAGCATCGGGTGATTCGCAGACTTTGCCGTATTATTTGGAGCTCCACGCCTACGTGAGAAGGAAGCTGTACGACACGTACGGGCCAGAAGTCGTCGACCTGGAGGGCCCGATCCCGGCCCACCTTCTCGGAGACATGTGGGGACGCTTCTGGAACAACATTTACAACTTGACCGAACCGTATCCCGGGTTGCAGTCGGTGGACCCCACGCCGCAAATGGTCGCCCAGGGCTATACACCCGAGCGGATGTTCCGACAGGGCGACGCGTTCTACCAGAGCATGGGTTTGAAGGTACAGTTATGGAATCACAAATATATAAAATGGATGACACAGGTCTTTGATACAATACATAAAACAGGTATACGATGTCAGCGCGAAAATCAGGAAACGACCAGCACTTATCAATGTTTATTTGATTTTTCATGCATCGGCGACATCGGCTTCACGAATTTTAAAATATTCCTCAGCTTTCTCGAATCAAGAAATGAAGCAGACCACATACTTAACTTTTGGATTTGTCTTACTGTATTTTCAAAGCTTGTCATTATCACTCCTGTGCTGTAAAAACAATGAATGCTTTTTGTCAGATGTTTGGCTCACTGAAACTTTGAAGGAGATTTTTAAAGATAAAAAAAAAATCTGAAATCAATCTTGGATCTGTAGATCGATCAGTACATCCCGTTTTTTCTCATCAGCTATTCTTAAAAAATCGGATGGGAGGACTTTTTCAGGAAAAATTGGCGGGGAAGGATGCTTATTAGTGAATGTTTGAAAATATGAAATCGGGAATTTTTTCTCAAAATGCAACGCAAAAAAATCGGACTGGGCAAGGAAATTTCCCTTGGTGAAAACTGCAAAGGGAACTGAATGCCATTTTCTTCATCTGCAGGCTGTTCCCGATACGTTTTACGAGTTGTCAATGATTGAAAAACCACAAGATGGAAGAGAAGTTGTTTGCCATCCGACAGCATGGGATTTCTTCGATGGCCAAGACTACAGGTAAGAATTGATTGCAAAACTTGGTCAATTTCAAATGCACCGCATATATATATATATATATATATATATATATATATTTTTTTTAAATCTTTTTTAGGATCAAAATGTGCACCGTCGTCAGCTTTGATGATTTCCTTGTCATACACCATGAAATGGGCCACATTCAGTATTTCATGCAGTACTCAGACTTACCCACAGTTTACCGGTATGTGGCAGCATTAAAAGACTGAATTTATTTAGCTAACATAGCATTTTATTGCAGAGATGGTGCAAATGATGGTTTTCACGAGGCAATCGGGGAGTTGATGTCAATGGCAGTCTCCACCCCAAAGCACCTTGAGACAATTGGACTCATTGATGAAGTTGTGGAGAACCCAGGTTTTAAATTACAACAGCATTTCCAGAGGTTTTTCATTACGTTTTTTTTTCAAATTTAGATCTTGACATAAACTTTTTGCTGAAGACAAGTTTTGGCTCACTTTCTACACTACCGTTCCATTATGTGATGGACTTGTGGCGCTGGAGGGCATTCCGAGGGGAATACCCAGATAACCAGTGGAACGACGAATTCTGGAAGCTCAAGTAAAAGCCTAGCCTGCATATAAATCAACATTTTATTAAGGTTTTCTTCAGTGAAATCACTCAAGTTTATTTTTTAAAGGGAGAGTTTGGTGGGAGTGAAGGCCCCAGTTGAAAGGACTCCAGAAGATTTGGATCCGCCTGCATTGTTCCACATTAGTGGGGACTATGATATGATGCGATATTTCACGAGAACCATTCTGCAGTTCCAGTTCTTTGAAAGTCTATGTGAAGCATCAGGCCATCAAGGACCCATTTACAAATGCGACTTCTCTGGTTCTACTGCTGCTGGTGATAGACTTGCGTGAGTATAAAGGAACCTCAAACTACTGTATTTACTAAAACCTGAAACTCAGAAAGTTTATAATCGCAACCACATACCACATCCACTAGAGCATAAAAAAAAGTCCCTGACCCTAAAAAACGGTGCTCCAAAAACAAAATAGAGTGGTGCTTGATATATTCAATGCGGTGCTTTATATATTCAAGAAAAGGCAGGAGTGACTAAAATCTGAAACTTACATTGCAGTGGACGCAAAGCGATCCACAGACAATGAATAGTAGATCAAAATTGTGTCAGGTGAGAAGCACCTGATGGAGTGCAAATCCTGGTGCTCGTTGGTAAGCGTGTAATTGTGAATTTTATCTGTAAGGTGTAAGCTATACACTAGGGCTGTTAAATTCACGTTTTATGTGTACCACTGGTGGAATGTATAATTATCGTTTGAAAAGAATGAAGACACACTATTTGGAATGGATGTGGACTCCTACAACTTACAAAATTTACTCAAGTATGTGGGGGTGTGGCTGTGGAAATCTCGATTGAACCTTGTGAATGCTGAAAAGCGGCAAATAAAGTGTTCTGTTCATACATTCATTACTCAAGTACCATGCACTCTTGTGTAAGAAGTTCTTGCAGATTTTCAGCCTAACAATTTGTTCTAAACCCTATCCTCAAGTAAGACACGCATCCCATTTTTAGTGAGGGGAAAAATTGAACAAGATTTAAAAAAATAAAGTATCAGCATTACAATTTTGAAGTAAATTGAGCCTAAAATTGATTAATTTTTCAATGGTTGCCATTTTCAAATTGTTTGTTTTAATGGGTTCATTTTGTACATTATAGAATCTAACATGAGACGCACCCAAACATTTCTAAAAATTTTAAAAATTGTTGAATCAATCACTTATATGCACACCCTTGTTTTTCACCGTTTTGAAAAAATGTGCATGTAGTACTTGAATAAATATAGTGCGGCACAGGTAATGCCATGCTAGTGAGGAAATGAATAAATGGTTAATTGAAAAACACAGTTTTGTCGATAAAATAGTGTAGGATAATTGTGAGCCACTGAATTCTCTCAAGTTCAGGACAGTCTTATACAATGGACTGTGCATAGATCATATCATAATTGGTCACGTTTACACCCAAGTAAATGATATAAACGGTAACGCACAATATGATTGCTTTAAAATCTTCTTTTACTCTGAAAACATACCGGTGGTTGTTGAAGACCTGCACGAAAAATTAAAGAAACTGCTTCACTTGGATGCATTGGTGGCATTTTCCGTCCTCAATTTCTTTCTACTGTATATTTTTTTCTGGAGATCACCATTTTCAATGAATGGTTTCCTAAAACTGGGATGCGGAGAAAATACTCGTTATGTGTTCTCATTGCAATCACGGATATACTGTACAGCAGTGTTCTCCAACCCGTGGTCCGCGGACCGGCGCCGGTCCGCAGAAGTTTTTTGCCGGTCCGCGGGAAATTTTTTTCAGCATTATGCATTCATCAAAAGTAGCAATCAAGTCAGTTATCTTTGTCTGAAATTTTGGAAAGACAATGGTAGTTGAAATTATCGTATGAAAAATGCATGTTGGCTTTTTTCTAATAACATTTCAGACGAATTTTCCCCAGCTGAAATAAATTATATAAATTTTTAATTCTGAGAACCTTCCCTCAAGCCCACGTTTCTAATTTTTTGAGGATATTCCACTATAGCTGCTTCATTGGTTTCTTATCTTAATTTTGTCAGAAAGCAGACACTTTTAAAATATCCGCTGTGAAGTGACAGAACGATTTGGCTCTTAAAATTTTTTTGAACTTTGCCGGTCCGCAGAACTTTTTTTGGAAATTTTGCCGGTCCGCGGGCCCAAAAAAGTTGGGGAACGCTGCTGTACAGTGCTCTCATCGCAATCATGTCAAACTTGATTATTGTTTGAAAAATCACGTTCTCTCCAATAGGGCTTTGCTGAGGATGGGTAGAAGCAAGCCGTGGCCAGATGCACTGGAAGAACTGACAGGACAGCGTGAAATGGACGTTAATCCTTTGCTCAACTATTTCGCACCGTTGTACAACTGGCTCCAGACTGAAAACAAGCGCTTAAACAACAAAATTGGCTGGAAACCCAGCAACTCATTTGCTTGAAATAGTGAGGTAACTTATTCAAGGAGACTGCCTTTGAAAGAAAAATGCATTGCGATTGAATCTTGAGAATGACTTTTTATTCAGCAGCCATTTTGAGTGATGAGAAGAAAAATTGCTCAATTCTTTCAAGTAACCAAAAAGTACATTTTCTGGGGTTTCATCACATCAATCAAAGGCCTTTTCATCCCAGAATTACTCATTAAAATATTTGATTGGTGCAGTATTTTATAACACACAGCCAACTTTCTTTCTCACTCGCGCATAACAGCAGCTTGAAATGGTTTAAAAAATTGAGCTAAACAATTGCACAAAGGGTGGTCGGAAAGTTTTGTTTGTGCCTTGGGTTTTTTCGGAAACCCAAGTTCCACGTAACTGCCAGAATACTTCAAACCACTTTTGGAAACAACAAAGATGATTGAATCATGCCTTTGATTGTTAGCTTACTTTTGCCAATGAAGACCAATTCTCCATTGTAGAGAAAGCTTGACATTTATCATCATGACTGAAAAATCACCATGATACTTTCCTTCATCGGAAAATCCTTGCCAAATCTTGGACTTCATCATCGAAATATCTTTCATAACTTGAAACATTTTATAATACAATACAGGCAATAGTAAAAATTACTATGCAAGATGGCTGCGTACTTCACCTAGACAAACTTGTTAATTGAAACTAAGTTGCCATCATCCAGCATTCATCATGCCAGAAGATTATCAAGAATCCTCTCACAGAAGTTGAACAGGAATCTTCCCATTAATCTGTGCATCAGGACACTTCAAATATTAAGCCAAGTTTCATCGATGGTATTGATTTTCGTATGGTGAAGGAACTTGCTCATGGATTCATACATTTTTATGCCTTTCAAAAAGATGGGAATACTCGAAAAATTAATGAGCCATTGCAGTACCGAGGTGCTGGCTTCTTTCCTACCGTTTAAGTGCTATTTGAAATGAAAGTAAAGGTCAAATCCAACACGCAAAATCTAAACATGGTGAGGAAAGTTCTTCGACTGTAAATTATTGCATTTCAAAAGTTTCATGAATGCTACAACCCAACATGGAACCTGAAAATTATATAATCCCAGAATTGTTTTTATCGATTTGAATAAAATGTCTGGATTGAGAGAAGACGCGTGGGAAGTAAAGGCCGGAAGAACAAAGGAGGGCTTTAATTATGTTACAGAAAAGCTGGACGTATGGATACCTTATTTACGCAGTTTTAGCCAATAGAGCTCTTCCACTTGAGCAGTGGTTTAGGCAAAACAACCGCATAGGCCCCAAATTTAAAAGATAATTAAATGTAATAATTGAAGATGATTAAAGATAATTCCGTTTTTTAAATTTTCAGCGGAGATCCACATGTTTTCTCTTAAAATAGTTCCCTTGCTTCAGAGGATTTCATGTAAAGTACGCCGCGGTGAGGTCTATAATTGGATGTATTCCGAAGCGGCTCGGGTTCGCAATGTACCCGAATTACTGTACATCATCTCCAGAAAAAGGTGCGGCATAGAAGTGATTGAGACCTACACAAAAGAAAACACATAGTCTGGGATAATGACCAGGTTCTGAGCCAAGACAAACAAGCCTAACAGATAATAAAAAGAAGAAGATATTCAGAAGAATTTATTTCAAAGGTTCAAAAAATGTAGGACCTAGCCAATTTAGCGTACCATTTTAAGAATGTCGTAGTGACCGAATAACCGAAACAGAGAAAACTAAAGCTGCCGAATCGAAAATGCATTCTCATTTATTTCAATGAATCGAAAATTGAGCACGGTTGATCGGAGCTTGGATTATCTAAGTTTTCGTTAGAAATATTTTTCGATATCCTCTGACATTTCTTGCAACAAATATTCGTGAAGTGCATGAAAACCCCGCTTTCCCGAGGTTATGAATCGAAAAGAACCGGCTCGGAAAATAAAATGACAGATTTACGAATAATCAGATTTTTGCTGAACTGTATCATTCTCGATACCCTCCGAAGTTTCCCGCACAGGAAAAATATTTGTGGAGCAAAAACTCCGCTTTCCTGGGGTTATGAATTGAAGGGAACCTGCGTGCGCGCGAGCGCGAATTATTTTGGGTCGATGCAGGGTGACGCAGCTTCCAGGGCATTAAATGCGCCCGCATTTTCGTCTCCGGGTCCGGACGCACCCACAGACGACACCGCCATTCTCCCGCTCGTCTGACAGCGACGATATTTTCATGAAACGTGGGGGGTTTTTTTTCTTCCTGGCAACGGGGCACAGCTGAAAATTGCCCCGGGCTTTGTTTTATGCGTCTTCTCTCTGCTTTCTGATATTTTTTCTCGCTTAAATCCTCCATTTCCTCGCATGGGATCCTCTTGCGCTGCGACGTGCGTAGCAGTTTGCGCCAGCAGAACTGGGCGGGAGTTCCACCAAAGATCTCTTGGTGGAAAGTTGAGTCAGTGAACGCATCGGACAAGTTTTCATTTGCAACCAGATTCCATCAGCTGTGAAGTACAGCAGAGTCTCGATAATTTGGGCAAATGCATTCGCCCACAAATTCAATTTTACCACAATCAATTACAGTAACTTGACCCGAATTTGGAATCCTTGATCAGCAATACAGAAGTACAGTACAGTATACGTTTGGCTAAGTTACTTTTCTTTAAGCCACTTAATTTCTCCAGTTTGACTAATTGAACGAGCAAATCCACTCAGAAATTAACGGCAATTTCATTACTACCATGCCAGTGTCATTCCTCATTAATTGAATCGATTCAACACGAGTATCTGATAGTTTCCGGTCATAAGTAAATGCAATTGTCCGGGCTTAGCCCCCATCCAATATAGGTCGAACATAATCGACGTTACAATACAGTATATTGGTTTGCGATTATTGTATTTAAATGATTAAAATTATCTCAAGTTTAAGGAATAATTCAACGATGGCCTAAAAAAGTCAACAACATTCCCACATATCTCGAAGAGCTAAAGGTTTCCGGGAAATCTTATTGAACTTTTCTTCAGGAAGCGTGCGATGTTTAGCAGTTCGCACGAATTTTATTTTTTCTGATGTTCTGCTAACGTGATGATCATTTCATTTATTATATCCGCAAAGATACTCGAATAAAATTAAAGTCCGTCTGAGGAAAAAATTTGTGCAAAACGGTCTTCTTCCTTGTTTTTCCTTGTGTCATCTTCAAATTTTGAATAGAAGCCCAGGTCGTCGAGGTTTCATTACGGACGAAACCTCATCTTTCCGGCGAGGGTATGTCGGTTAAAATACCCACCGGCTCGCTCAAAGTTTCGATGAATCGACGAGAAGATTCATACGCATTCCCAAATTCTTCACAAAAAACCCTCGTTTTCATTGCGAGATTTATGAACTTAATTTTATTCATGGGATGTAATTTTCTAATCGAGAAAAAAATTAAGATTTTTTTCCTGCAGATATTAGAGTTATAATGAAGCGTTGCTCGGGGCGTGATTTAATAATTGTGGGGATTACCACAGCATCTTCAACTGGCGACTGCTTCGGTAGATCGAATTTCTAGTTTACTGATATAGTGGATGCACTTCAATCCCTCATATGGAGTGGATAAGTTAGTGTGGAATAACGAAAACACGTGCATAGAAAGCATGCTTAGGCCCGAATGCCGCGTCAAGCTTGAGAATTGGCACAAGGGTTCTAGAAACTGCATCACCATGTTCAGCGCGAGAGCGGAGGCACAAACTGACCCGAGAGGCAGTTTCCATTCCATTCAAGTCATGCTGGGACTCAAGCAAGAATCACTTCAATTCCAACCTAATCCCAGCACATCAATTCAAGATGAAAGACAGAGGCCTGATTCTTCGGGGATTAAAGTCGAGGAAACGTCCAATGAACATAGATCGTGTGCGTCAAAGAGTCATCCACCAGGTGATGACCTTATCTGGCATTTATGCTGAAAAACGAACGTCAACGAAAACGGTAAAAAAAAATCAAAACTTTCCTGAGGGGTTAATCAAATATGACCTATTTCTCAATTCCCTCCGCGCCGACAGCGCATCCAACTCACACAATTATAATTTTAGCTAGTCAAAACGCTCATCTGAAATAAACTCACCATATGAAACGGTTTTATGGAATTTTGCAAGCAGTTCTCTACCGATCTTTGACGAAGAAAAATTTACCTTAAATAATGCCATGTTGTAGGCGAAAATATACGGCAAGATGCAGGACTACGCGCGAGTTTGGCGAATCGCGAAAAGGATGGACCTATATTTTGAGCGTAAATCGAAGCATCTCATCATTTACGTAATACAGTTGGTCCAACTAGAAATTCTGGACGACTGATAGGCAGTGAATCAAATCTGATTGTTTTTTTTTTAAATACAGAGGTGAAAAAATATTCAGAAAAGTTCCAAAAATGATCATATACCGCGGACGCACTGACATCGAACACCATTCATCAGCACGCGAAAGAATTTAAATCGTTCCATATTTCACTAGACTCTACTCATCTTTTCGCTTTTCAGATCTAAAATGCATGGGAATCAGCTCAACGGTTTTGAGCGCCAAAGCGAAAAAAGGCTCCAACCCAACGATTCAACAAAAGAAGAAAAAGACAAGGTTCAGTAATTTGATTTTTATTTATATTTTTAGATTTTAGTTGCAGAATGCTCCAGCATCTAGCCCATCGCTTTCATCTCCTACAGATTGAGTTTCGTAACTTCGTCATTTTTTTTTGTGTAGATACCGTAACTTAGACTCTCACCAATGGGTGGGTCGATGTGTTCTATACTGAAACGTTTCAATCGAAACAACTCAACTCGAAGTTCCAAAACAGTCAACTTTAACGAACACCAAATTTACCCAGAAAGTTGAAAATGCAAAGCTGCAGAGTATCGCATAAATTACAAGTTAAAAAGTGGAAAATTCAATCGGAAAATTCTGAACGAAGCGTAGAAATTGAAAAATATGAATTCTTGTGAAGTTAGTTCAGAAAATTTAAAACAAACCCCCGATGGATCAAAGCTATTATAATTTTTCTGTGATGGAAACATGAGTCTTTGTATATGCGTGCGAGAGATGAATTGTCAGAAGTTTTTCTCTGAATTGCTCGAAATTACTTGAGCGAATGAAGTTTCAACAGGGAGTTTAAAATAATGGACGATAAGAAGTAAAGATGTCAACAACAGGGAAGACCTGGACAGGATTAGACTTAGGGAGCTTGTGTGAATTTCCTGCATCGGCACATCTCGGATGCCCCAGCCGGCTCATTAACCTTTCGAATGGTCACTTCGAAATAAAGGACGACGTTCACGGCGTGGCAATTAGCCGAGCTGGAAATGGCGTTCGAACGAGCCCCTTACCCTGACGTGTTTGCACGGGAAGAGTTGGCCTACCGGCTGCAGCTGACCGAGGCCCGGGTTCAAGTGTGGTTCCAAAACAGACGCGCCAAGTGGCGGAAACGTGAGCCGCCGCGGAAGAACGTGCCGAGTGCCTTGAACCTCTCAGCGGCGCCAGCAGGTAAACCACCGGCGTCTTCATCATCGCGTCTCGCACGAAACCGGAATCCCACCAGCTGCTGCATGGACGCCGGCACGGAAGCAACCAACTAATTTGGGAAAACCTTAATTTCTCCCATTTTTTAAAAGGAGAAATTACGAAAGGGTTCGGGAAATTATTTCTTCCCCCCGGCGAATATCGAGATTCAACCGATTTTCTAAAGCCCTCCTTCGAATCAAAGCATCGTTGAAGTTCGCATACAGTGGTGCCTAACACAAGGAACAGAATTCGTTCCAAGAAAAGAGCCCTTGCAGGGTATGTGTTTTCCCAAACAAATGTACGAGGAAATCAATATTTCGTTCCCACCCTTAAAATGATGATGGTTTTTCTCTCACATGAACTTCTTATAGGTCCTACTTTCACACCACACTCTCCCTCACTAAGAAATTAAAGGAAGGAGCAAAAAAAAAAAAACGGAAAAACCCACATAACAAATGCATGACTCATTTACACATCGAAAAATATCCAAAATTATACAGTAATTTCCATTATTTCAGAATCCTTGCCTGGGTCACAGTTTTGGTTACTTCGTAAAGGTCATTCTTAGGAAAAATGGGTGTTGACTATAAGGAACAGAGTTCGTTTTGTGGGCTGCTGGTTTTTTTTTTTTGGGCGGTTCATTATACAGTATTCATTATACGTGGCGTTCAATATATAAATCCCCCATCCCCATCACAAGACTCTGATTATCTGCGCTCCGATTAATGGGGCATTCGATTCAACGTTTCTGAAGTTCGATTCGTTGAGAGTAAAAAGAAGTAGATTATCCGTGTAATTTTACTCGAGGCGTTAAAATTCCATATGATTGACTTCATGATCTCGTGCTCAAATTTTGAAATTTTCCGATATGTCGGTAAAAGTCATGCTTGGCCATTTTTATAATTTCTACCGATTGGATTGCAGTACTGTATTTGGCATCCAAGTTTTCATAATGTTCAGTTGTCCGGGCAAGGGCACAGGCCAACAGCCCGGGTTATGGTGCTATTTGACTTGGCATGGTTTCACGAATAGTCGCATTTTACAATTTACAGAATGAATTCGACTGGGTCGGACCACGAAAGTTATTCGGCAAACATATGCTGTTCTGTACATTACAATTTTTTCATTCGGAACAATCTCACTGGTCGACCTCATCATAAACTTGCCAGGGAAATAGATAAGTATAGATCCAGAAGGAGTTGCCGAAGTATTTATATAAACCTCCATTACTCAGGTTAACACCTTCGCCTAAAAAATAAATATCACGGAAAACAGAGCATAAAATAGTTCAATACGAAAACGATGTTAAGCATACTTGTATTCAACGGTGACCTGTCGTGATCAGTACTTACATTTCCGCGGATTTCAAAAAGATAACATTTTCCAGAAGCATGAAGATTTCTTTGGAGAATGTCATGGGAATTGTTTACCGTACTTATTTTGTTTCCCATAAAATGGTGAAGTAGATATATTTTTATGCATAGACTTTCCTCAGCTTTCGAATGCTCATTGTGTTCGTTGGTATTTAGAATGGAATCCCGTGACGAGTTCAAGCCCATCTGAAAGAAGAGAGCTGTTCGAAGCATACTTACTTAAGCCATTTTGTTCCTGATCGACACAAATCCTGGCATTGTGACATAAATGCACTATTCGAAGCCTACATAATCGATATGGTTTTGTTTCGCAAAAAGTAATGTCGATACAATGCCGCGAAGGGAGAGTAGCCTTGAATAAGTATTTTCAGCAACGGGACATCCCGTTGAATTTATTGAGATCCGGTCGTCTTGAAGCTACGAAAATTCTGAGCACTCAAACTTAACAATAGTTTTTCGCTTAGCTTGTAGAAACTAAACAATACATTGGCTGAGTTTTTAAATCCCAGGGCATGAGGGCGGGAACCACTGGTGAGGAACGTCCGACGGGAACAATGTTGATATTCATCGACAAATTAAATTCGCCAGACATTGTATTTGGACTTATCGGTGCAAGTACTGAACTGATAATTTTCGGGAGCCGGTTTCGAACAGAAATGATAACCACGAAGGATGAGACCAGTGAAATTTTTAACGGCTTTGCCAGGTGGGACCAGAAGTGCATCGAATTACGCAGGATCAGCCAGCATTATGACACCGGTCATTCCGGAAACCTGCACGGCTCAGACACTTACCACAGCTTCTTTGAACTCCTTGCCGCCGTTCAGAGCGGCATTTGACCCCCAGGGCTCCTTCCACCAAAACTATTTCCCGGGACCATCTTGCGAAGCATCTGGCTCCGTGGTCGACTCGGTCATCTCTCATTCGCCGAAAATCAATCGTACGCAACAGCGGAGTGGGACCGTGTTCCTCGACCCTTTGGTTTATTCGCAACACGCATCAGGTACTCAGTTTTTCACACGTTTGATTTACACCGAAAGGTAATCGCGGAGACAGAAAGTCGTACGTCATTCATGATTTGAGAATCTCGGATTCAATTTCACTTCCACTTTAGAGCAAGGAAAGTACTGTAATCATTTGCACAATGGCTTTTGGTGACCCTTAAATGTGCGGATCATAGGCTCATAACTCTAGAAACTACTGTATCTTCTTTGATCGGCAAAAAGCTGAAAAAATAATTAAAATATTAATTAATTCCTCCAAGCTTGAAGGAAAACTCGAAATTCTGAACCAGAAAATTTAGGAGAGCCAAAACATTTGAACTTTTATCGGCAACACTTTTCAACTAAGCCACTCGTTTCTCAAGAATAAAACTGAGGAATACTTGAGGTTATTTCTTTCTTTCAGAGGTAAAGATCTAGAATTTAGATTCATCAGATGATACTGATTCGGAAATTAAATTTATGATATCGAGATTTTTTAATCGGCATTAGGCGGTGGTTTCTGCTTTCCATAAGTTCTACCACAACGCTCATTATAATGATGAATACTTGGAATTTCACCCTTGTCTTCCTTGTAAATATCAAAATATTTGAGCCTTCTAAGAAAAGTCTTTGAAAAATCTAACCATTTGCCGGAATACTTCCTTGTTCCTGCGATTCAAAGAACTGGTAGCATTTTAAAATGTGTTGCACCATCATATCCTTTCTGAGGATTTTAAGGTCAAAGATGTTTTTCAAGTTTATAAACATCCAGAGGAAAGTGAGCACATAGAGAATTTGAAGAAAAGCACGATTTCAATTTTGTTTAAACCTCCTCGTAACCCATTGAAACAGATATGATCTCAGGTTGATGCTCTCTCGTCCATCCGTGATTTCTGATAATTAATTATAGTCGATATGGCTGGTGCAAGTTACTTTGAGGTACTGTACTAAGTTCGCCTCTCGCCGATAATTTGTAAGAAGATTGATAATACTGTGAATTCCTAGATTATTCTTTGGATAAAATCATCCGGAGACAGCTGGAATATTTTTGAAAAAATGTCGGTAAAAGTCGGCGTTACTGATAAAAGAATCGAAGTATAGTGTACTTGCGTTGCGGATCATTCGTTTAGTGATCCTAATTCTACTTTGTGTTTAGCCACGTACAATTCGAATTGATTCATCATCAGCGAATATGAACCAAATTACCAAAACATCTTGATTTGTGACTAACAGCAGAAAATCGTTAGTCTGGAATTTGAAAGCTAGCAAGAATACCATAAAACATTAAATTTGATCATTTTTGCGGAATAAAATATGTTCATCTACTCATCAACGTCGATTACTCCACACTGTATATTTCCAGCCCGAAAACTTTCTCGTAAAATGTAATTAAATATGTTATTTCAACCACTGAGATATAAATTTTCAAATATTGTAGTAAGATTTAGTAAGATCTAAGGGCAATATCTGATCATACACAATTTTATGCAACGTCGTTCTCTTAAGATTCGTTTGGTCCTGCTTCATAGCTCCAGCAGTTCGTTTACTTTGCGACCATGTCTTCGGAGACGCTTTAAAAATAATTTTGACGAAATTTTTCCGGTTTAAAGACTCATTATGCAGATCGATGATTTTATACTGCTTTATTGAGGAGTTATTTCAGATATTATGAGCGAAGGGACACCGGGCGGGAACGGGTGTCGATTCTTGATGGATCAGCCGATAAGGAGCCAACTCATGCATGGATTTCAAGCATCCGCAGCAGCTGCAGCAGCCACAAGCCTCTTCATACTAGACCAACACAACTGTAGCTCTAAGGACAACATAGCAGTGTTTATGCCCGATCAATCCAACCCCAACCGATCCGAAGGGACCGTATACTGCAACGAATTCTCGCAGAGCCGATTCCCAACATCCGGCGCATCGCAGGTCTTGCTCGCCGTCAACAATTATTGTCTGCAACAACAGGCCACTCACGTGCCTGAATTTGGCAACAGTGAGCAGGGCACGGTCCAAGAGGAGGACTCTCGCGCCACACCTACCACAATGGACGCGCTTTTGCACTGATACCTATTTTTTTCCCGTGATATCGGACTTTTCAATTGTCCAGGCGACGAAGTTGCCTTTTGCGACTAACGTCTCCGAAGAATATAAACGCCTTTTCAGAACAGAATATTTCGTCACACTCGAGACTACACGCAGTCATTTCTTTGAATATGTTTGTCTCTGTTTCCCCAGAAAAGCTCGAGAAAAAAGGCTGAACTTGACGCCGATTCCAATCTTCACATTCTCTTGAAAGAATAACCGAGCTAAAAAAAATGTCTTGTTTCAAGCACACACACGAAAGCACGAAAACGCCAGTAAATTTTTATAACTACCTGTATCCCCTTTTTCTTGGCAATCCTTGTTTCTACATAAACTAGCCCTGATTACGAGACATACTGTATAATCACGAATATGCACAGCAAAAATATTTCATATTACCGCATTAAAAGACACAGCGAGGAAATTTTTAAAGGCCGTATTTTTAGCCCTTATTCTATTCGACATACTCAAACGTCAGAGTACTGAGCTATAAATATGCTAAGTATATCACTCATATGGAAGGTACTCCATAAAAATTTTTAATAAAGTACCCATGAAGTTCAAGCTACACAACCAATGGAACTTTGAGAAGTTCCGACGGACTACTCGTTCAAACATCAATTAACTCTTGAGCTGCATATGTTAAAAATAAGTTCATAAAGCCAAGAAAATATGACAGGCGCATAGAGTTCAGTAGCGTAAGAAATGCAGTCCTCCTCACGAGGAAAACTTGACGATATTTGACTGGCATCGTATCCACCAGGAATACTGAACCTCATTTGAAAACAACAAAGCAAAAATAGTGTACCTTGTATAGCTTCAGTGCAGTTGCAAGAAATAAATCAGCAGAGTGCAAGACAAGTCTTTCCCGAATGCGACGCACTGTTCACGGTCTACTGAACTCTTCGCCAGTCAATTGGCTTCAATTTATACAGACCAAATATAATACAGTACTGGAAAAATCAGCAGCGAAACATATGACAAATATCATACTCAAAAAGAAACCTCATAAGACTGCCAATCTGAAGGATGCTCCAAAAAATGCCAGTCAATTTCTGCATTCTGAGAATCTTTCCGCGGAACATGTCAATTTACAGCTGTCCTCAGTACAAACATTTCAAAATTTGCACGTACAGTAATTTCAAGGTTTACAGTAAATTTACTGTAGAAGATAAGTACATACGATAAATTCAGACAGAGTATCAAACAGAGTATGATTAAAGCGTGACTCCCGAAATAGCTTGTTGGAACGATTTCGACAAACGAATATGAAAGTTGTAGAACCCGTCTCGTTTGTCCTGGTCAGGCTCAACGAGAATGCTGGCGTTATGTTGGCGATGCGAACTATGAGCTATCTGAGGGATGGGGTCAGGAAGACTTTCGTTTCAAATCATGCTTTTCGGGAAGCGAATACATTCTTAAAATGTTCACAAGGATTAGAATGACTCCTTGTAAACCAAAATTGGATCCACTCATTCATTTCCCCAGCCCTATAAATTACGCAAAAGCGAGTATTCTATAGTAATTATGAAGTTTATTTGATCCAAAAGAAACTCTCCCCACCACACGCCGTCACTCGTGTAAAAATCCGCAGATGCTGCTTAAATTCTTGCTCTGGTAAAAATTTTCAGCCAAGGCTGATGATACACTAATTGTTTTCCAACCAAGCACGCGGTGACAGAAAATCGGACGTCAAGATGACCGGTACATGGGAACAATAATGTCGATCTTGCATTCCAAGTCAATCATGCCACTAACCGTCAGTTAAATCGATGGCGACAAGAATCGAGTCTTGTTAATTGGGCATCCAAGTTTCTCTCCAAAAAACGCGCATTTGAAAGCTATAATTACTTCGTCAGTTCACTGACCGATATAAAAATTTTGAAGCGACGGAAGCTGTTGAGGAACGTTCGTTGATATGCATTTTGAGGGAAATTTCATTCTACAAATAGTGCACGATTCAGTACTTGATGTCTAGGCTTGACGCTGCGGCCCCAGTCTGACGCTGGAGGGCTTTCATCCGGTTGGTGAATTTGTTGATAATGCTACAGTTCTCCACGTACGGCAGAGAAAACAGCCCACATTTTTCAAGACATCGTTATTTTACCTTGCCGGAATTCAAATGCATTTATCTGCAGTGAATATGTGAGCAGCTGTACACAATTCAGTAATTCTGGTTCGATTGAATGTTCGATGGACGTTTTTTACATATATACTATTGTAAATCTACTATTCTATATCACTGTAGAATTTCGATCAGCCATGCTTAACTTGATGTGAATTTGACGAAACGTGATATAAAAAACAGGGGACATGTAAAACCGACATCCTTAAAGCATGCATCACGAACTGGATTTTCCTTGGCGCTTGTAAATTTTCATTGGTAGTTTGATGTTGTTCTTCATTATGATCATAATTAATCATGTTCACATTAGGTGCGGAAAGTCATTATCAGTTGGCATTAATTCTTGACTAGGCGTGATCAACAAATGTGCGGAAGAATACGTCTGTCCGTCAGCCACATGATTGAAGTTCCAGCACTACGCCAATCTTGGCAAAAAGACAGATTTCTGGGCTCCTTCTCCATACTTTGAAATAATTGAAATGCCATCTTGACCCAACCACAGCATTGAAGAAAAATAAACAATCATCCTACAGAAGATAATACTGTACGTTCCCGCAAATTAGTGCCATGGTTGTTCGCCGCAGTTAAAAAGAATATATCGTTTCTCATCATTTTTCGAATGTGCCAATAATTTTCAAGTAGTTTCAAGTACAAAAACAATAGTCTGATCCAGTGAAGATCGAAAGCTAAGCATAGTGGTAAGAAGAAGAAATTAAAAAATGAAAAGCGCGGATCTAGAATACAACAAAAGGAATCTTGGTATTTACTTTCAATTCAAGGGCGTATTCAATTCAGATTGGAATCCTGATGAACAAGATCACCAGAATTTTCTTATCCGGAAAACATAAATCGAATGCGATGAATGAGCATCTTATACTCCGCGATAAAAGTGCAGTATATTCATTTCAAAAGACAGAAAGTAGGAGGCGTTTTATACTTGGGGAGAAATTTCATCCATTTTAGAGGACCTTAAATTCGAGTAAATGCGGCAAATGACGGCATCGAAGTCGTCATAGAGCTGCGGAAAGCCGCGTGGGAAACGAAGGAAGTCCCGAGGGCAGGTGCAGTACGGGTTTCCGCCATGTCTCGCTCGGGAATGGTCTCGTCCGCAACGCGAGGCAATGCGTGGAATGCGCAACACGCGCGATATGCGGCCGAGGAGGGACGGCGGGAAGTAAATCACCAGCGCCCGGGAAACCGCAGCCGAGGAAATTTATTCAATCCTCCGCCCCGCCGGGGCGGTTCCGGCCGCGCTTTGCCCGCCTCGGCGCTCGGCGATGGGCGGCCGAGCGCTCGGCTCCCGCGGGGTCGTCCAGCATCCGCGCAAAGGATGACGGATGCATTTCCGCGCCAGTCCCCATCGAGGAACCCGGCTGCCGATCGGGGGCCCCCGATTCATGCCCGGGCGTCGATCCGGTCCAGGCCCCACTCGCGGCTCTCACTCGGTCCGGTCCGCGTCGAACCTCGATTCCCGATCGTGACTCCATTTTCTCATTCCGTTTCGTCCTGCCCCAGCGGTGTGCCGAACCTCAGTGCTGAATGCCGGCGATCGCTTGAATTACTGCGGTACCGTAATCTAAAGTCTCACGTACCACGTGCATCTCTCGCCCAAAATTTGGCAAGGAAAAAAGTGGGTTTTCGCTCGCCACATGTCGAGCAAAAATTAAGTTAGGGCTCATTGGAGGACATTTTTGAAAATTATCATCGCAAAAAAAAATCTGTGCACATTTATTACGCATGGGCTCACGGTACATTCCAAGAAATACGGATAATCGAACATCCATATTTACTGGTGAACCAGGCGAAACATTTCTCACAGAAATTTAACACGATAACAGTGGGTTTGCGGCATACATGCATAAAAATCGAGATGGGGTTTACCGGGAATATTCCTGGCTTTATTTCTTTGCAAAAATAATTCCGAACTCTTTACTCAACAATGCACGATTTACTCGTTGATGAGACAAAACTTCAGATTGAATTTAATGCAGAAAAAACATTTATCGCAGTGAAACTAATCAACATAATCCCAGACGATTAAGCTCCAAAACTTCAGGATTTTCAGCAAAAATTTGTGAGCCTTTGGGGCTTAATTGTTCCGCTGACCTTTGAAATGGGCCATTTTTGTTGCTGCTAATTTTTGTGTGACTTGAATCACTGATTCAAACAAACCTCGAATCAACTGAAAGATTCAGTTTACAAAAGAAAATCGCTCAAATTCTCTGAAAAATAAGTCGGTGACAGTTCAAAATTATTTGTGCAAAAAAAAAAATTCGCCAGATCAATGTACTGCATTTCCAGCAGTGGAAAGAGATACGAGTGCAGATGTGAATACCGTTCGGTCAATCCAACAAATTAGTCGCATCGCTCATTTCATTTATCCAGAAACAAAAACTATGGTAATTCGGTTGACTGTACAGTATAAGAATTTCAGCACTGCGATTTCGAATAAATTTTTGATATTTGCAGTATTTCGAATAGTTTCAGTGCCCAAATTTATTACCAATATGATCCTCCAACAGATTCAGAAAAATCCATGACTACGCTATGCATCCATGTATATGATATGCCAATTTAATATTTACTGTAAATTTCCTCCGCACCATTGGACAGCCAGAGATGGTTTTTGATTGGATGGAAAGAAACCTGATGCATCGCGATGTATACGGTGCTTTATCTGATCGGACGAAGTTTCATTCCCGAACAACGTATTTCTGAAGAGTGTTGCTTTTTATCATTGACGGAATCAGGATTGCTTAAAGTTCAACGATTTTATTCAGCGAGAATGTGAAAAAATAAAAATTTTCGACTCCAGGAGAAGTTCACTGTTCGTTTGTTTCACATTGCTGAGTGGAGA